AAAAAAAAAAAAAAAAAAAAAAAAAAAAAAAAAAAAAAAAAAAAATTTCTTCTATAAATAACTAGACTACCGTAACGCTTAATTTTTACTGTGAATAATTTCTGTTACCATCCGGATGATAACTCATGAGAATCCAGCTGATTCTTCTTCATAAAAAATTAAAATTTGAAAATAATAAACCAGTTGGGAGTGTCACGGGCGACTCTCGGAAGATGTGAAAACATACTCGAGGCACGACCGATATGTTATGCATACCTCAGTGTCGACACGTTCGACTGCGTTTAACAAATTTTTGGCATTAATTTCTTTTTTTGCAGAGGGAGTACATGTTTTTGGGGGGCCATTGCCAAGTAGTAAAAAAGTTCCAATCCTGCAACAAATGGCAAATCTGTACGAAAGCTTTTTAATTTTTATTTATTAGACTAGGTTGTGGCAGTAATGTCGTTTGGACCAAATTGCTCTTTTAATATGACAATATTACTCGTGATCAAGAGTAAAAATCACTATAATATTCCGAATATAAAAGAATCATGACATTTCCCAATGTTTGTAGAAGTTGCGGCAGGTTTTTTTCACACACTTCAGGATTGTACCCTTGCTGTATTCTTGCCAAGATGCTAACATGCGAGTCAAGTGTTTACTTTTTGTCGTGCACATCAGCACGTGTGTCAGCATAAGGGTGAGATACTGAGATTACATGGAGTCTGGCAGTCTGCAGACTGGCAGAATCGCGCTAAGTTTAAAACATGTTTCAATATTAATATTTAAAACCTGTTACGTAAGCAAAGAAATAATTATCGTAATACATTTGCATTTCTTTATTAACTAATGTTTACGAAAAAAAAGGCGACGAAAAACGTTTTGTCACAGTTACATATTATTATACATACCAGGTTATATCAGTGACCCTACTGACCGACTGTACGATGTTAACATAAATCTATAAAAAAAGTTATAAAATAATATTTGACACGTTTTATTGTAAATGAAATTGATTGTAACTAAGCTTTTATTCGGTTATGACAATAATTACAATTTTTTCTTTATTTTACTAAATTATTCTGAGATGTTATAATTTAAACATAATTTAAACTTAGCGCGATTCTGCCAGTCTGCAGACTGCCAGACTACATGTAATCTCACCCTAAGTATATACTGTTGGTAGCATTTTGAGATCCAGCAGACGGATTACATGAAAAACGTACCTTATTATTTTTATATACGTGTTGTCGGTGAAAGTTGCGGCACACAGTTTTTTTTCGTGCTTATCGTTTGGTTCCATGTGCTTCAAATTGATAAATTAATCAATCAGGTCAGACCACGACGTCGAGGAGTTCATGCACCTATGTGTATATATGTGGTGCTCATCAGACAACAGAAGAGTTAATTAACCTTCAGTTAGATAAGTAAAAGAAAACATTTCGTTTTCATTAAGAATCTAAATTAATAATTAAATATTAATAGTTTCCTTTTTTTGATACATTTACTTAATACATGCATTCATTTCACTATTAATCCAATTATTATAATTCTTTTAATTCTACTTATTTTAGTTTTTCGATAAATTTCAGCTGTAAACTTTTGGACTTTTATACTGGGTTTACTTTGTGGTGTTTTATAATTTCAGGAGTATCCTACGTTTACAAAGCTGGATTAGGATTAAGATTTGATATTTTTTCCCAAGTTGTTTAAATAAACTGCCCAGCAGAAGAGCCTGGTTGCAGTTGTGAGATGCAAGGCTTTGAGATGTAAGACTCAAACTGCAGAGGATTGATGCGTTCAATAATCAACTGTTACTATGCCAAGCATTTTATTCTCATAAAAGATTGCGTGTAGTTAACTTCATAAACCAGTACAGACATGTATTGTGTATATTATGTCGATGCAGAAGGTAAAATTTTTACTACTTAGCACTTCACTTATTTTTGAGACAATTACTAATACATCATTCAACTAGTGATTGCTACATTTAGTCTATTTCTAAACGTAGCAACAAATGGATTTGCTCAAAAAAGGATTACCAGACAATTTGACGACAAATAGCATTGCTACTGCTTATCAAGAATGAGGTATCATGTCACACCAATCACACAAGTGAATGAAGAACTTCACATGGCACAGTACGTTTATTAAAAGCTGCTAAGTAAACCCTTCATTAATTAAATACAGTGTTATAATTAATTTCATGTACAATGCATTAGTTAAAGCCTTTTTTGAAATATTTTTTTACAGCTAAATTATAGAATAATGACGCATAATGAATCCTCTTTGAATCACTTTCAACCGCATTTATTATAATAAATGCTTTGCTCAAAATACATAACCTCAGAATAAATATTAATCTGCTGCTCACAGTAAAAACTTTTTGTGTTGTATCAGAAAGTATCGTCTTAAAGAAGTGTGGTCCAGGTGTTAAAAATTATTAATGGGTCTAAGCTCTGTGTAGTGTCGAGTTTTTGGATCCACTGAAGTGATTTCTACAAATTATATTTAAAATAAGTGAACAACTGTGATTTTAAACTTACACATACAACTTCTTTGGGCTTCTATAATTATTTTTTTCAATTCTCTTTTAATTTTACAGTAAACGAACATTTATCACCAAGAACCATAAAACAAGTCTAGTCCAACAAATTACAGCATGCTTATGATGAACTTTGCGCAAATGCAATGAACCTTAAAAACTGACTCGAGTTAGTTTACAGGTTTAAAACGTTTGTTTGCATGCTCTCAAAATATGTATAACATCATACAAAAGTTTTTTAAATTACAGGTTTCTAGGCAATATTGTTCACTTCCTCGGCACCTGAACACGTAAAACGTTATAAGCATCAATGGTGGAAAAAAAAAGAAGCCTCAGATCGTTCATTGATCACCCTTGGCTATGCCTTGGGGGACAATACACGGGTGATCTGAAACTTCCTGTACTTTACTGCCTTTGGTGCGCAATGTACTACAAATTACACAGGTATATTGTATTTCATTCTTTGAGATTATTAATACTGAATATAATTACTAATCTTTATACTTCCATACTCTAAAGAAATGTAATAATTTTTTCAGCAACGGCGCACACTGCCTGATATTATACACTAGTAAGTTTATTGTTAAACAAAGGATATTTGAAAAAATGAGTATTTTTCATCATGACTCTTTCGCAATAATTTGGTTGATGTACGTTCAACAGATATAAGTAGTAGAGAAAAAATAAAAAAAATAAATCTGATAACTACATCCTCTTTTGACTAGACAATGATATGTATAAAATTAACTTGTGATTAACCGATTCAATCCTTGAAGCTCACAAATCGTACTCATTTGTGCTCATGGTACAAAACACACTGGGCAATCACTGTGTCTATAGATCATTGCGAAGCAATCCCCAAGGAACTGTTGTGATCGCCCTGGCCGGATCCATATTTGTGAAGCGAAATAGTAGTTTTCCTACGAATTTGAAAAGTCTTTGTTTGCGAACCGAGAGGTTTGCGGCCCGAGCCGAAGGCGAGGTCCGTAACGAGGTTCGTAAAGGAGACTTTTCGAACGAGTATCGGAAAACTGCTTTTTTGCCCGAGGATGTACCAGCCTCCCAAAACCACCCGAGGGCGGAAAAATAATTATTGAGGTGCATAAGTATGTGTTACACAGATTCA